CAGTTTCTTCACTCCATCTCCTATATATGCAGCAACCCCTTGCTGTGCTGCATGATTTGACTGAAAATGTGAGCGAGGTTAGACTTTAATGATTTGTGCTGCTCTTCGGGTGATCATGGATTTTAACTTTTGCAGCTGAACGCAAAGGAATATTTTCAGATTGCTGAACTGTAAAGTGAGGCTTGTCATATCTGGCAGAAATGCAGTCACAATCATCACACAGGGCCTACAAGATATCTAAAAACACAAACACCCAGCACAGACAAAACTTTCATTTTGTGTCCTGTACTTCCAATCACCACAGTTCAGCATGTCTAAAAAACGTTAAAACTACCACACTCTACTCTCTTTCACATGAACTCTCGCTCTTCCTGTTATCCATAACAGATTCCGAACAGACTAGCAGTAAGATTTCCCCATGTCAAGCATGACACTTGTGCCAGTAAGTGAAATATGAGGAACAGTTCAAAGGTCTCACCATATGCCAACTGGCTCCTTTGATGTAAAACAAAATCCACATTGCCTGTACTTCCCAGATGCCACTTATGCCCAATTATGGGTGACCATACGACCAATCAGTGTTTCAAAACTGAACCCCCCCCATAATTCATTGATTTATAGAGCCAGCTTGATGTTTGATCAATATTATATGCTCGTATCTGTCTTAAAGCTCATCTTTATACACCATGAATTGTGTGATTGACTTAATTTATTAATAAGATGCTTTTATTTTGAAGACTCACCAGCCGTTTACACATATACAGTGGAACATAATTTTGTATATTTTGTATATATATATATATATATATATATATATATACATACATACATTTCACACTGATATAATATAATATAATATAATATAATATAATATAATATAATATAATATAATATGCCAGTTTTGGTGATTGGTGATATCGGCCCCTGAAAATGTTTGATGGTGAAATACCCTGTAATGAATATCTATTATTATTTGTAAAACATAATATAGTCATAATGTTATATTCTTGGCTTATAGTTTATTTATCATCACATAAATATGAGTTTAAATATATTTTATTTTATTCGTTTAGAACCCAATGAAAATTTAAGATTTTATTTTTATTTTTTTATTTTTTTTTAAGTACTTATTTAAATTTGACATCATGTGACACAGGGTGAATGTACAGCTAGCTAGACAAATATGCCCTTTATAGATAGATAGATAGATAGATAGATAGATAGATAGATAGATAGATAGATAGATAGATAGAAAAAAATATAAAATAATAAATAAATAAATAAATAGGATCTCTAAGCCAGTCTTTCTTCGCAATTATATTTCTGAAGCTTGTAAAAAAACACAAAAAAAGTCTTTGGTATGGCTGTCACACTTGATTGACAGCTGTCAGACTGAATCCTCCTTCTCCTATTGTGTTAATGGATCCGTAAGCCCTTCAACATGCCAACTCTATGCTTGAATTATAAATATGTGGTAGAGCTTATACTTGAAAGCATTTGTTTGGCTTTATGAATGCCTACAGCTTTATGCCATTTATGCATACGTTTGTCTTTCATCATATCAATAAACTACTCAGCACAGGGGAAACAAGGTCAGTTTTCTCATGGCAAAAAATGAGAAATATGTAGACAAATCTTCTCAAGGTTAAGTCCTTGAGGAAATTAGCGTGCAGTTGTGACCTCGTGGACGGCTGTATTTCGGGACGAGCCCACAGCGTTGCGTGTCTCTATCCCATGAAGCGGTCTGTGACAGATGAAGTGGTGTTTTCATCCAGCGCTTCTTCACTTTGAAGCACTTTGTGAGAGCAGCTGCAAGCGATCTGAAATCTATTAACACCCACTACTCTCTTAAAAACACATTTCCTGAGGATGTGAAGATGCAGCGACACGTGTGTGTGAGTGTGTGTGTTCGCTTTATGACCCCTCTGTATAATTACATGCAGGAAACATGATGGCATAAATGGTGGATTCCTACAAGGGTTAAAAATAGCTACATCCATGATATGTTTAGTGAAAAGGATGCTGCAAAGAGATGCTGGTTTGCTGGTCCTAGCTGGTTTTAGATGGTCTCACATCCTGGCCAAGCTGGTCTAATTTCCCAGCCTGGCCTGGTTTAACCTCTAAACCCAGCCAACAGACTGGGTTGACTAAATTAGGCCAGAAACCATCTTAGGCCTTAGGTTTAAAGGGATATAGCTCACACAAAAATGAAAATTCTGTCATACCCTCAAACCTCTACGAGTTTCTTTTTTCTGACAAAGATATTTTGAAGAATGTTGGTAACCAAACAGTTGCTGGTAGTCATTGACCTCCATAGTGTTTTTTTTTTCCAATACTATGGAGGTCAATGGCAACCAGCAACTGTTTATATATCTTCTTTTGTGCTCAATATATTTAATTTACATTTAGCACGAACGTCTTAGATGCTGAGAGTCTGGCTTTTTCAAGTTGACAGTGTAGATTTCTATTTGTCCACTGGATGGCGATAATCACAAACACAACAATCATTCACCACTCCTGCAATTTACAATCAGGGATGAAAGCCAACATCTGTAAAATACTTGTGCTTCTGAGAAAACACATTCAGTGACAGTATTAGTATTCTGTAAAGTTTCCCCCCAATTTCAAATATTTGTTTCCATCCATTTAACTGTTTAATAATTAATGTCAATTATACTCGATTTCACAGGTTTTTGTAACCTACATTCAGCTTGATTTGATTTACCAATAATTACATTCAAACTCGTAAACAATGAAATTACTTTCACCACTACAGTCACTACATCAATGATTTCCATTAGCATTTTTATCACTGCAATATGTCTGCTCAACTATTAGGTATTTTTAAACTCATGATGACTACATGATGACTTTTCATTATATGGATTATAACCTGAAATCTTAATGTTTACCAAAAAAAAAAAAAAGTTATTTTGATCTTATCAGAACATAAAAATAGATTAGGCTACAATTGTAATTTCATAATTTCTTGTGGCTGATTTGAAGGGAAATCCTGTAAACTGTTTAAAACAATACCTGCATGTGAATTTTGACAGCGTTTGTGAACTTCATGATATGGCAGAAATAACGCATAAATTATGATCACTAAGGCACAAATTAATTAAATTAAAATTAATTAAAGGATACAACAACAACAATATTGATGATTGGTGTTCTAATAGGAGTAGGCTATAGCTATTTTGTTGGGGAGTGGGTTCCCCTTTCTTCATCGTCGTTTCCTTCATTTTGTAACATTTCATTTTATTTATTTATTTTACAAAATTAATCTCTCTCTCTCTCTCTCTAATATATAAATAAAGAGATTAAATAAAGAGGTTAAAAAATGCACAAATAAACAGGCCAAAAATGGTAGGCCTATTATAAGAGGTACCTACACCCATGAGGAGCCCAAACAGAAGGCCAAACTAAACACAGAAGTAGGAGATCAAATTAAGAAAATTATATTATCGCAGGGAGGAAATGAAGACAGTAACAAAGTCATGAGAGAATTTAAAGTATGTAGCGGTGTTAGCTGGTTCTGGTCAGTCAGCGCTCCAACGCGTCCAGCTCACGTGCATTACGCGCCTAGTGCTTTCTCTTTTGTCGCTATTTCTTTCTAATTAAATTGGTGTATGTGGTAATTTAAAATAACATTTTTAATTCAAAAATTTTAATTAATTTACTTAATTAATTTAATTTAGTTAATAAATAGGTAATTGCTGGCGTAAGTTTTTAGCTAAATTTATAGCAGCCTTTTTAAACAGGACTAACAGATTAAAAAATAATAATAATAAGCCGAAATCTAAAAAACTCATCAAAAAAAAAAAAAAAATAAAAATCCACAGTCATTTTTAGTGCTTTATTTTTTAGCCTATGCCCGCGATGGGAAATAGCCTAGGCCTATAACATTTTGCGAGAGTTAAAATGTTATGCTAATAAACAGATGATTTAGGCCTAGTTTCAACAATTGTTTCAGTTTTGAGTCTCAATATTTGTCATGTTAAATGTGTTTTTTTCTAACACTGGATGCGCATTATTGAACTTGTGCACACGAATCACTCTCATTTTTCAATGACCACGATATGAAAAATACGAAATGCTTCCAGACTACAATAAATCCACTTTTATTATGGTCTTTGGCATAATCTACATTTATTTTAGTACAAACCATTCTGGTTATTTTTGATGTTTATGGTGAAATGGGATTTGCTTCGTCAGTGATTATTATAATGGCTATTATTATTAGTATTATTAATTCGATGTGATCACCTAATACTGATGAGGATATCATTTTAATTAAATATAATAATTTGACATAAGAACGGAATTTACTGTGGATTTTGCGTAAATTTTAATATGTTTAGGCTTACTGTTTAAAACGTGTTAATTGTATGTAGCCTACTGTGCAAATTGTGCTTACTTTCTGATAGCCTTATTTATTGTAGACTGTGATATGGTGGGCTATATGTATGTGTTATGTCATTTGTTGTTATTTTTGTCAGCTCTAAAATTATCTTCACAAAAATAAACAACTAAATTAACCTCTAAACGTAACCAAAACATTTGGGTAACTAATAGCCTGTATGTTTTATCTGGGCTAGTAACGGTCAGATTTGGCTGGTATCGACTGTCTACATACTGCATAAGCCGAAAAGAGAGAGTGAAATGTGATTGGGTGTTGAAGTTCACCCCCGCTTTCAAAAGTCAACACCAGTCACGCTTCGACGAGTCCTCAGCAGCGGCTCTTTGGTTCAGTCGTGTAGGCGGAGCCTCGGCTTCGCGATTTTCATTGGCCTACGGCATCCATTGGCAGTCCAAGCCACACCCTCTTTTTATTACTATTAAACATATTCGTATTTATGCATAATATTCATTATGGAAGAAATCTGATTGGTCTACATTCACTGTTCTCTCACCAATAGAGAATCAGCATCGTTGTCGTATTGTCCTTCGGCCTTAAGACAGAAACAACTCTACAAATACTAAAAAAACAATATCTATTAGTTAAATGACATTTTTGTGCACAATTATTTCCTGAAACCATGGTTTTAAAAAATTAAACAACAGAATACACAGAGTTTATTTGACTAGAAAATAAAATATGGAAATGTTACTCATTGTTATTTTATATAATACCCAAAACAAAATACTTTTTTTATCAACCTTTTAAATGCTACTTTTCATACTTCTAAACTACAGTACATGTAGTGTTTAGTTGTGGCTTGTCAGACAATTATTAATTATTATAGTGGACTATACCATAATATTAGTGCCTCTAACTGGCTCATACCAATTTCATAATATTGCCCTTTCCTCATTAAAAAAACACATATACAAAATATTTAGTTATATATAGGTCTAGTGTAACAGAACTTTGCCAATTATTTTTTGACAAAAGGGTTGTAAAGCAAAACAAAAATACCTAAACTGATAAAAGACAAGTTTAGAAAATTATAAGTTTTCTAATATGTGACCATTTAAATGAGAGGCTATGCTGAAAGAAAACATAACTGTACCTCCTCTAAACAGAACAGCAATATATCAATATTTCCAGAGGTTAAAAATAATTGCAATTGCTTTAAAGCTGCCTTGGAAATAGACAGGTATTTGTGTATTGGCTGATATTTGGTTCAGAGCCCAGTGAGCAAATATGCCTCTTTATATCATTTAAAAAACACAAATGACCTAAATTTGACAAAAAAGTATAAATATATCAGCACTAAACATGAGACGTAACTACCCATGTGCACTATTTTAATAATTAATTACATTACAACTCATTAAAAATAAAAAATGAAATTCCCTTGCAATAATTTACAGATTCCTTCAGAGGTCATGGAAAATGTTATTTTAGAATTGACCACTTGATCTGCTCCTTTGCTGACTGTAACACCTGAAAAATAAAACAAGGAGGATCGGTCAGATCAACCCAAAAAACTGTAACACAATTACTCCACATATGCAATTCAATGTGAAATAATGTGAGTTGTTAATCAGTTAATATAATATGATTTTTGGATGCATTTCATATTTCTTGCATATATTGCGAGTATTAATATTATTCCACACGGAAGCAAGGCAATATAGCTGCAAAACACTATTTAAAAACATATACACACACACACACACACATATATACATATACATATATATATACACACACATATATATTTCTCAGATTTTATATTTTTTATATTTCTCAGATTTTATATTTTGTCGCTAACCAACATCATGGAATCAAATATGCGAGCAATTAAAATAATATATTTTCATAATACCAGACGCCATAAGGAGGTGTATGCAACAAAAAGTGTGTTCTAAGAACGTTTTGCATCTGTTTCCATTAAGTTATGAAATCACTCATTTTGAATGTTCTTTCAGTGTCCAAAACACCCAGTTTTTTTTTTTTTTATAAAATATATTTTATTTAAAAAATCAAATTTCATATATTAAATAAAATATAACAAATAAATAAATCCTGCTTATGCGAACATTAAAGGAACATTCAATTCTATCATTTTGCAAACATTATGGGAATGTTACTTTTGAATGTTCTCTAAAACAAGACCATGAATGGTGTCTAAATAATGTTTTGTGCTAACGTTTTGAGAACATTATTAAAGACCAGATAACACTGAACAAACGTTCTTTTAAGGCTACTGGAAAAAAACATTTGTTCATATCTTTGAGAGAATCTTGCCAGAACGTTCTGAGAATGTTTCCTGATAGCTCATAATAAAAAACTCCCCAACTACACTAACAATTTCATATTGTGGCCACAAGGGGGCATCTGAAGACCACAATATTAAAAATGGAGTTTCTTAACTAGTTAGGAGTTTCTTCTATCTACTGTGATGCCTCTTTTATAATTAAACTTCACTTTGGATTAGTTTCAGTCCATTATCTATGATATTACACCTCTGTTGTCACTCTGATATAATGTTTTAAAGATTCAAACAAAAGGCTGAATAACATTTTTAAGAGCTTCAATGCACATGCCTGCTCGCTTCAGCATGCATATATATGCGCGTGTCCAACAGCACATGTGTGTGAGTGTTAATGCGCTTACATTAGAGGTGAGAGCCAGTTTTTCAGTGATGTGCTGTCAAGGTTAGAGTTAGTGGTTAGAGCGATACTAAAATCAGTCCAGGCGTTAATGACGGAAGACAGAAAGCAAACCATTTCAGACCTTTTAACAAGTTTTGAGTTTGAAGAATGTTTTATGACAAAGATGTTAAAAGAAGGGGAAATGCATCATTACAGTGTCTGTGTGTTTGTAATTTTCTATGTAGGTTCATTATGTGTTCAGTACCTGTGCCACACTCTGTTCTGATAATGGGCTGTCATCTGCCTGCAAAATAACCAAAATCAAGAACAATTAAAATAATAACTAACCAACATAAACTACAACCAACCAAGCCAGACATATCATGCAATTTGTTTGAAACAGTTACTGTATGCCAAAGTGAAGGTTAAAGGTCAACAACACACCGTAACTCAACTGCTACTACTGTTAAACCTCACTAATGGCCAAAAACAATGTTCCAAAGCTGTAGCAAGAATACACAGAGGACATTTGAAGTAATAATAGACCAAAGGATCTGCACATTTATGCCTGATTTGAGATTAATGGCATTGGTTGATAATAATGCCAGCTTGCCCAATTAACAAGTGTTAGCTCGCCTTAAAGCAGCACTATGTAACTTTTTCTGTGTTCAAAATTTGCAAAATGTATATAATGAGCGAGTACATCATGAATTAATCTTCCAAACCGCGTTTTTGTCCTATTCCGAGTCACTACGGTACACTTATAATAAGTACTTATATTTGGACTATTGTAGCCTGGTCGGGTCGTCACCGCTGCGGAGTAACACATACCTGCGTGAATCGCCATAGACATAAACTTAGAGAAGTAGCTCCGGTTGGAATGTTCTTCCGCGGGATGTGTGCAGTTCTGTTTATTAACCGCTAGAGCGCCAAAAGTTACATAGTGCTGCCTTAATAGGATCTTCAACAGCCTTGATAATGGATACTACTAAACATTTTCTGTTGTCGATTAAGCAAATGTTTTGTAAATATTATGTATGTATTCTTTTGATTAAGTTTATTATGTATTGGACTTATTTTAGCCATCAGTTGCTGTGTAGATATTATATAAAAGTCCATATTGGTCAATCACTACACCAGAACAAGTAAATCACTAAAACTGAGTCTAAAAAACATCTAGAAGATCACAGAATAAAATTATGTCCCAGCTGCTAAAATGTAGTCATAATTACTTCTAATATAAAATAATACATCAAATTTTCTAATAAATTAAAATTAATTTTAAAAAGTTTAAAAAATGGATTAAAAATCTATATTGGTTAACCACTATAAAAGGAGCAGAACCATCCCTAAAAGTGAGTCTAAATAAATAAACAAACAAACAAGTAATTAAGTAAGTACAATCTATATAATACATGGAAATGTTATTAGTAATAAAAAATAATGAATTCAGTTTAATTAAATTTTCCCAATAAATTAAATAAAAAAATATAAATTAAATAAAAACACTTCAAGATTTATTTAAAAATACATTTGTCTGAGGTTTGCATTTTTGTTGTAATTTTTAAATGTTATTTATGATGACATTTCAAATAAATATGAATGAAAATGATAAAAAATTAACATTCCCACAGAGATAATAAAAAATAATGAATTCAGTTTAATTAAATTTTCCCAATAAATTAAATAAAAAAATATAAATTAAATAAAAACACTTCAAGATTTATTTAAAAATACATTTGTCTGAGGTTTGCATTTTTGTTGTAATTTTTAAATGTTATTTATGATGACATATTCAAATAAATATGAATGAAAATGATAAAAAATTAACATATTCCCACAGATGACATCCCAGCAATGTATATTTGTACTGTATTCACATATAATACATTGCAATTTTACTTTCAAATAAATATGAATGAAAATGATAAAAAATTAACATTCCCACAGATGACATCCCAGCAATGTATATTTGTACTGTATTCACATATAATACATTGCAATTTTACTACTAATAAAAAATAATACATAAAATCTATTCATATTTTTAATAATTAAAAACAAAAAAAGTTTTAAAAATGCATTGAAAATATATTGGTCGACCATTGTACTGGAGCAGGACCAGACTGAAAATCATCTAAAAGATGACAAAATAAAATGTGCCCCAGCTGCTAGAGTGTATTAATGGATAATACATTGCCATTTTTACTGCTAATAAAAAAGAATACAATAAAGTAATTTTTTTAATTTTCTAATAAATTAAAAATAATAATAAATTATATACTGACAATATACATTTGCCTGTGATTAGATTTTTAGATAGAATTTAAAGATTAATTTAACGGTACTATCTATTTGTATTCTATTTTGTAATGCATTTAAATCTTATTTGAATTGAAACGTTTATTTTATGGGTGGATATTAGTGGGAGAACGTCTCCAACCCCCACGCACAGGAGTAAAAAATAAAACTCATAACAGCATAAATCAGAAGCATGGACTGAGGTCAGCTGCACTGAAATCATGGCCAGTCATTGATTGAATGAGTTTATGTGAGCGTAACTCAAAGATGTGACTCAGTGTCTCCCACTCCGCAGCGAAAGGTTTATGGTCAGATGTCAGCCAGACGTTTTCTTAATATTGATCGCCCGCCTGGGTTACAGCTGTTCCTCTCACACACGCTTGTGCATGCCATGCAGTTACCTGCCCACTCTCTCACCCTCGGCCCTCTCTCTCTCCCGTCTCTATCCAGCTCTAGATCGGAGGGAGAGAGGGAAGGGAGGGAAGGAGAGCTACAGTAGCTGCCGTCTCTCTCCCTGGCCCTCCACGTTACCAGTGATGTAATCAAAAAGGACGAAGCCATACGCTTGCTCCGACAAACACTGACAGGGCAAGAGAGGGGACATTTAGTCTGTGTTTGTATGTAAGTGAGAGGGACACATTAGTTATAGAATAACAGAATGGAATCTTCTGTTTATCCCTCTTTTCCACATACACATTCAAAATAAAAACCACAAACTGGACAAAAAAAAGGGCAACTTCCTGTCAAGCTGAAATGATGTGCAGAGGTAATTACAAAGACAGGAAGGAGTGATTCTGGGTAAAAAAGCAAGCTAGAAACTAGAAACTGCTGACTTTCAGCACTGTTGTCACACCTGACAACTGTCTGGGCTTTAATAACAAGCTGTCAGAGCAGAACCCCTAAATACAGGAAACAAACACCGTCAGTTCATTACACAATGATATTTGCTCTTCTATACAGTCTCTTACCCTGTAGTTGACCTTTTCAATTACCTGCTGGGGGTCACTCTCCAGGATCACCCTGCAAGCATGTCAACGAGCAACATATGAATGTAGAAAATCGTGAATTTTATGACACAAAATTGTCAGCGTTGACCTTTTTTAAATAAAAACAACCCTCGTGATAATGATAAACTCAGTCAGTTTAGTTATAGAGTATATACAATTTCAACAAAAATATTAAAGGGATAGTTCACCCAAAAGGCGAGAATACTTTTTGTGCGCAAAGAAAACAAAAATTACAACTTTATTCAACAATTTCGTCTCTTCCGTGTCAGTCACGACTGTGTGCTGCTGCTGACGTAGAACCCAGATGCACTGCACCTTGTTTACAAGCAGAGGAATGCACATGCATGTGTCGTGCCACTGTCGTGAATGCGTGTCGAAGTCTGACGCAGAGAAGAAATTGTTCATTGCGCACAAAAATTATTCTCGTAGCTTCATAAAATTAGTGCTGAAGCACTGATGTCACATGGACCATTTTAACAATGTCTTTACTACCTTTTCGGGCCTTGAACGTGTCAGTTGTGTTGCTGTCTATGCAGGGTCAGAAAGCTCTTGGATTTCATCAAAAATATCTTAATTTGTGTTCTGAAGATGAACGAAGATCTTACGGGTTTGGAACGAAATGAGGGTGAGTAATTAATGACAGAATTTTCATTTTTGGGTGAACTAACCCTTTAAGCAGCACAACTGTTTTCCACATTAATAGTAATAAGAAATGTTTCCTGAGCACCAAATCAGCATATCAGAATGATTTCTGAAGGATCATGTGACACTGAAGACTGAAGTAAACTATGCAGGACTGTGCAGGTTCTAAAAGAGAACACTGTTACTTACCCTCCATCGATGATTTCATCCACCACTAGGAACACTCCATCCATATTATCCAGCAGAGTCCTTTTCTCCACATTCTTCCTGTTGGAGAAGAACCAGACATCTGAGCACACAAGTGTTCTTCGGTAACATCCCATGCTGCACTCCACCAGTTTCTGTGGTTACCACAGGAGACTTGATGCCAAGAATTCTGGGAATTCTGACATGAATTAGCCTATAGGCAGCTAGAACTGCATACAGTGTCAAAATGGGACTGTTCTTAAAAATCAAAACATACAATGTTGTCCGAATATCACTAGGCCTCAGATTTCATAGATAACCTTTCAAAAGTTTGGGGCTGGTAAGATGTTTTAATGTTTTTGATAGAAGTCTATTATGCTCACCAAGGCAGCATTTATTTGATCAAATATTATAACTTAATATTATTTTCATAATATTAATAATATTATTTTAAAAAATATATTTTGTTTTTAACAAATAATTTCTTCCTGTGATGCAAAGCTGAATTATCAGCATCATTACTTCAGTCTTCAGTGTCACATGATCCTTCAGAAATCATTCAAGATTGCTCAAGAAACCTTTCTTCTTATTATAAATGTTGTGCTGCTTAATATTTTTGATGAAGAAAGAACTGCATTTACAAAAGAACTGCATTTATTTAAAAACAGAAATCTATAATTGTCTTTACTGTCACTTTTGATCAATTTAATGCATCCTTGCAGAACAAATGTATTCATTTCTTTCAAAAAAAAAAAAAAATCCCACTGAACCCAAACTTTTGAACGGTAATGGTATATCAGAGCATGAACTCACCTCAACATCTGACTGAGAGACTCAAATAAGCAGTTCAACACTGCCATCAGCATGAGCTGAGATCAGACAAATACAGGAAAAGAGAGAGACAGATAAAAAGGAAACGGCATGAAACACAGCTGACTTTTTGTTATAGGTGCATCCTCTTTGACAAACAAAATTTGGTCAGATATCAAATAGTGTCCAAAACTGACCAGTTCTCAATAATGGTCAGAAAGAATTGCTGTCACATGCAAATTAAGTGACAAGACTTCAGCCAATCACAGGCCAGCTCATCTGCATACAGGACTTACCTCATTCTCCTGAGCACTGCCAACTACATAGAAGAACAAATCTATGCTGCTCTTGTAGATTATCGTCATTCCCTCTAAGAAGGCAATTTCATCTGCGCAAACAGAAAAGAAACAAAAGACATAAAATCCACAAGATTGACCATTTCTTTATAAAAAATATGTATGTTCAGTTAAATGTTAGAGATATAGAACAAACATTTACCAATCTATATAAACATTTTTACACTTTTGGGTACAAAAAAATAAATATTTAAAAAATATATATCTCATATCTCACAAAAAAAATCTCAACATTTTAAGGGATATTTTGCTGTTGACAATTAAACAATATTTTGCTGAGTGTGTTTTTGTGCTGTTTAGGGCTGTCATGGATAAATAAATATGATACTAACACCACTAGGTGGCGGTAAGTCCCCGTCTTAATGAGTGATTCATTAAAGGGGTCATATGATGCGATTTAAATTTTTCCTTTCTCTTTGGAGTGTTACAAGCTCTTGGTGCATAAAGAAGATCTGTAAAGTTGCAAAGACTAAAGTCTCAAATCCAAATAGATATTCTTTATAAAAGTTGAGAGTCAGCCACGCCTACCTAAAACTACTCATTCTAACACGCCCCCACATGTCTACATCCCTATGTGGGAAGATTTGCATAACGCCGCCCAAATGTTCACGCAAAGAAAGAAGGCGTA